AGGACATTGATTGGGATCCAGAAGGAAAATATATTGTTTCTGTAAGTTCTGACCAGACTACTAGAATTCATGCTCAATGSCTTAAATCAAACAAACAAAATACCAATTTACATTCTTACGTAAGTTTTTTCTTATTATTAAATTATTTATTTATTTGATATGGTACGGGTAAAACTATTATAATTATATTGGGGGGACGAGGTGGCCGAGCGGTCTAACAGGTCGGCTGTAGCTCAGCCGGACCAGGTTCGATCCTCGACCATCGAGCGCCATTTTTCTCCGGGCAAGTCACGGTGTCTGGAGAACAAGTGCCGTCATATTATTGAAGTATGTTTATTAGTTATATGATAAATACTAAATTCTKATGAAGGGCCAGACTTGTGGCTTAAATAAATAAATATTAGTATTTATTTAATTAGTAAATAACCTGTCATATTTTGGAAATCTCTGAACTTATTATAAATAATAAATTAACTATATTATAACTTATATTTATTCCATATGCATTTCTAAAAATATTTTTAGAGAGCCCAAACTATACTCTGTTCCTCTTGAAAAGGTACATGCACCATGTGCATTCAAATAACACCATCAATAACACGGAGACCAAATTTCTCTCACTCATTACTGATAGTCCAAACTTTTGAAAATCGTAACTAAACGTGCAAAAATGTTGAGGAATGCACCGATAAACAAAGAAATTTGTACCTTCTYTCTTGGAACAGAGTATACCACATTTACTCTACTTCAGCATGAAACATTACAATGAGTCTTGAATCAATGCATTTTGCTCAATTAACTTAATTCTTAAATAATAATATTACAAAAAAATCTCGACAAAATAAATTCCCAATAATTTATTATTTGTTTTAGAATTGGCATGAAATGGCAAGACCTCAAGTTCATGGATATAATATGTCTAGTGTTGCTTTGTTGTCGAGTTTAAGTTTTGTGTCTTCAGCTGAAGAAAAAGTTATTAGARCATTTCAAGCACCCTACAATTTTTTAGAAAATATGAGTCAACTAGCTAAAATCAATTTTAATTCTGTCGGTAAATATATTATTAATCTTCAAATTATTATTAGTTTTATTAAAATTTTTATTTGTAATGATTCAGTTATTTCAGATTTTAGTAACATGTTTTTTATTTATTTTGTTCAGTAAAATATATTGTGCTATTAATTTTTGTTAAGATATCACAAAATGTCCACTTGGTGCTTCTGTTCCATCACTTGGGTTATCAAATAAAGCAGTGTCTGAAGATGACTGTAAAAATAATACTAATMAACCAAAAAAGAAAGATTATCCTGAACATTATTTTATTCCTTTGTATTTAAATCGTAAGTTTAAAAATATATACCGGTTGATTCTTTTATCATTGAACACTCATTATTTCAAAAATTATTAATGTTTTTGAAAATATTATTTTACATAGTTTCAAGTTGTTAAAAACCAACGTTTTTTTATTAAAAAGTTATATTTTTAAAATGTTTTAAGTTTTTTATTTTTTTGAATGACAGYMTAGAGTTTTAATTTCATTTTCCAAAGCAGAATATTTTTCTAAGTATTTTGATTCATAAAAATTGAATTTAGAACGAGTATTTTGAGTTATAAGTATTTAAAATTTAGACAAGCGTAGTATCCGAGCGTGTCTACAAGAGTAGTAGACAAACATTTTGCAGGGTAACCTCGTACCACTCCATTCTGCCAATCTAAACTTTAAATACTTATAACTCATAAACTACTCGTCCTAAATTCAATTTTTATGAATCAAAATACTTAGAAAAATATTCTGTTTTGGAATATGAAATTAAAACTCATGTTATCATTCAAAAAAGTAAAAAACTTAAAAAATGATAAGGATAAAAAATATTTTAAAATAATTTTTTTTAATAAAAACGTTGGTTTTTGAACAACTTGAAACTATGTAAAATAATAATTTCATTAGTAATTTTTGAAATAATAAGTGTTCAATGATAAAAGAATCACCCGGTACATATTTAATATATATACACACACACACACATATATATATATAGTACCTACCACTTTCTATATATTTATACAAATAATTAAATGTAGCTTAAAGTACATGGAGATTAAATAGGATTTGAATTATTAAACATTTATACTTAGCAAGAAACTTTAAGTATTAAAATAAATTTTAAGAGGATTTTCTTTTGATATTCTTCAAATTTTATAGGCATAAAGATAATGAGTAATAACAATAATTTTATTGTTATGCCCATTATATCCAGTATCAGCAAAATTTTTATATAAATTTAAATAATTGTATGTCATATTATTTTGTATTAGAACCTCCGACTGAAGAAGATTTAATTCAAAATACTTTATGGCCAGAAATTCAAAAACTTTATGGTCACGTTTATGAAGTTTACTGTTTAGCATCTTCCTCTAATCATAAATGGATAGCATCAGCAGCTAAAGCTACATCATTAGAACTGGCTTCTATTATAATATGGTAATAAAACAAAATAAACTATGTAATAATAATATGTATATTAGTATTTAAAATGTAATTTGTATAAATTAAATCCAAAAATGCTATAATAACTTAGTTAAATGTTTAATTTTTGATTTGTAGGAGTACCGAAAATTTTCAACAGATACAAAAGTTAATGTCACATAATTTAACTGTGACTCAATTAGCTTTTTCACCAGATAGTAAAAATCTTCTCTCCGTTTCACGTGATCGTACCTGGTCATTATTTGAATATGATATAAAATCAAATTATTTTATTATAACAAGCAAATCAGACAAACACACTGGTATTCATACGCGAATAATATGGTGTTGTGCCTGGACTCATGATTCTGTATACTTTGCTACTGGATCTAGAGATGGAAAATTAGTAATTTGGGGTCAAAATAATCATAGTGTTGATAGCAAAATAACTTACTGTGCCAAAACTAATCCTTTAATAGCATCAGAAAAGAGTTTTACAGCTGTAGCCTTTGCTCCCACATTAATAAGTGAATGTAATAAAACCTATTTATTGGCTGTTGGTGCTGACTGTGGAAATATTAGTTTATATACATGGAATTATGATGAAAAATCTGTCACACCTTGGTTTAAAATTGCTGATTTAATCAATGAGTATCCTTTTTCATAAGCTACATAATTAATATTATACATTTTTATACTGCTTTATTATTAAATTTGTCACTTTCAATTTTTATCTTTTCCTTAAATAATACATTATTATAGATTTGGACATCACTTAACAGTAAAGAAAATTAAGTTTCAACCATTACTGCGTAAGACTGACTCAAGATATAGAGAAGGTGTTCTACAAATGGCATCTTGTGGTGCGGACATGATGGTTAGAATTTATGACATATTTTTAAAAGATTTTCCGTGATTGTATTATTGTATAAATTTAATAAATTGTATAAAATACTTGTGATTTTCTCAAATATTAATATGTTAACTAATTTCAACAAATTCACTCAACTGCGGAAATGCTCTGAGTGTACTTACTAACCGAGTTTCTTGTTCATGCAATCATGCCGTTCATGGATGGGTGATCACACGGGTTTTTAGCAATAAATCCTTGGCAATACCACAGATTATATAATAGTTTTATATAATCTGTGGCAATACGAACCAACTGTCCTTCCTCTGATAACTCTTTAGAACAAGTTTAAAACAACCATTGGAACCTATAACACCAGCCAACGGCATATTATACATATACCATTGACCAGATGTGGCGAACCTATATCAGATTTATTTTACGTCTCGCTAAAATATTTTTATTTCATTGTTCCATCTTACATTCAATAAAAAAAAATAACTAATATTTATAAATAATAACATTTTAAAAGTATAGAATTCATTCCAGACATAATATTTTGTTTTAAATTAGTAAATGTAAAATATTGATTAAAAAACGAACATATTTTATACTTTTATGTAATATTTATAATTATAATAACACAACAATAAATGTACAATCAATACTTTAGTATAACGTATTTAATCCGAAAATTATAAATTATAATATACAAAAAATAGTTTATCTGAACATTCTGAACCATATTTATGACATCCGGAAGTCTCTCGAAAAATTCGAAAAGGAAGATGATGAGATGAGATGTGATAATATACTGATAGGTTTAATTATATGAGTAAAAATAAAAATATTTATCATCATACTGTCATCAACCGACTGGCCCGTATGGGAGACGGGACGGTTTTACATTGTACGCTCGCCGAATGTTGAGTCAGCGTTCTACATTACAAATTGTTCATGACGTTCATGTAATAATAATGTTAATGCTAAATTAGTAAATTATATACATAGACATATAAAACATATTATATTGTTTTATAATATGTCTATGATTATAATATACTAATAATAATAATCGGGGTTCTTAACAATGTTATCGTATATCGTTGTGTAATATAGCTCATTATAATATTGATTTAAATTTTAAATACTTTTGCTATAAAAATTATTTACATTCCCTAAAGTAAACAGGTAAACGTATAAACAATGAAATTCCATAAAGTTTATTTTAATTTTAATTTTGAAAACGTTCTTTCTAATCACTCATCGACTGCTAAAGCGGCCCTCAAACGATCAATATTACTGACACTCACATCCAGAATATATTATTCTGTGTTCACACTATAAAGAATTAGGATTAAAGAAATAAAGACACTAACAAGTAACAATAGTTAATAGTTTGCTTGAACAGAACAATATCGTTGAGTTTAATAATTAAAATAAAATCCTAAACAAAAATAAAACTTTTTTTCGGGAATCCCCATCGTTATCACTAGGTATACTGTATAGTCACAGAATATACACCTATATATTCTGGTAATGCCCAACTCTATATGTATATATAAATTACCTTTAGCCCAATAAGTAATAAAGTCGTAAATTCCAATAAACATGGATACACTGATATTCCACCAAATTGAATAGATTTTTGAGTGCTCAGCGAGTGTCCATTCTGGATCTGGACATTCTGGTTATTCTATGTTGTAACGTCAGTCGACACTTCGACAGTCATTATTTCATTAATTTATTGGTATTCTTGCTTTAGCCAGCCATTGTAGAATCTGTTGTTTACTTTATAGTTTATATACAAAAATATACAATATCAAAATTTCACCCAAACATCAGTTGCCTGTAATGTTGACGGACGACGGTTATATCACGGGAAGCCTAATTTACGAATTTAGTTCTACTGAAAACTGAATCTACTGTCAGGTCTGGTTGTGTTGYACCTCAAGATATTTAATATTCTATTCTATTGGGTTCGTAAATTAAATTTATTTCCTGCTGTTAGGATATTATATATAGAAAATATATTATTTCCCTAGATATACCTAGGGTATTATAAATATTTTTTTCAGTCAAATTTTATTTTATTTTTTTATTTTTTATAAGAAATTTACAATCTGTTCTTAACTAGAACAATAAGCAAATGTGAATAGGGTATTTACATATGATTTTTTTGAGGGAAGAAGCCACCCATTGGTGACACTACCTATTTTGTGTTCTTAAATTTTTAAGTTAAGCTAATTTTAATTTTGAGACGGAAGGTCCCGACACCATCTTCGCACAATCTTTCGATTACCTGGAATGGACAAGGTAGATAGTTTTTTAATAAGAGGATTAGGATGAAGAGGTAGTTTGATGTGAAATCTTTTGTAGTAGCATTTTGCTTCGTCAAGTACTGTTGTTATTCATAGATCATTATGGAGCGTAACATTGGATACAAAGGTAGGGGCATTTGTGATTTTTCTTAGGKYAATGTTTTGAAAAGCTTGAATTTTTTGTATATTTGATTTTTTTGCACTACCCCAGAGCTGGAGCCCGTAGGTCAAGATGGGTTTTAGAAGAGCTTTATATATTATTAATTTGACATTTAGGTTAGTGTGTGTGTTTCTGTGTAGCAATGAGCTTAGTGTGCGTAATCGATTGTTTAATTGTAGCCTTTTTGATTTTATGTGTGGAGACAATTTACAATCTGTACACAGTAATTACAATAAGCAAATAAGATAAAAAAACAATAAAGTAGCATGAATGACGTGATGAGGAAGAAACCCAATGGTAACACCTCCTTTACTAATTTAATAGGTCTCTACACCATTTTTGCTTTAGTCTGCGTGGTGGGTTTTTTGGGAGGGTGAGGGAGGACATGTGTGATATTAAAGTATTGTGATGAGTGCTTAAATTTTGGTGAAAATTTTTATACATTGTTTTGGCTAGTTCAGTGGTAGTTAATATTTTTAGGTCATTGTGTAAGGTTAACACCCTTCTTGCAACATACACCGATGACACAGCTATTCTTTCCTCTAGTTCAAATCCTATCCTAGCTTCAGCTGCACTCCAGGATCACGCTAATAAAATAGACAAATGGGCCAAAAAATGGAAAATCAAAATAAATACTGACAAATCTGTACAARTCACTTTTACGTTAAWACAATCTCCCCGTGAATGCCCTCAATTAATCATGAACAACGCCCCCATCCCTGTCCAAACCGAAATAAAGTACTTAGGCATAACACTCGATAAAACACTAACCTGGGGCCCCCACCTAAAAGAAAAAAGAAAATCAGCGAACAATAGACTTCACCTCCTCTGACCACTCCTCAACTCCAAAACAAACTTATTATGTATAAGACAATCATAAGACCAGTCTGGTCTTATGGAATAGCAATCTGGGGCCCAGCCAAGCCCTCGAATATCAGGCCAATTCAGGCTTTTCAATCAATAGTGCTAAGGATTATATACCTATAATTTTAATTTTAATATGGTTTCAGATTTACCTATTATTTTAATTTGACGTTTTTTTATTACAAGTCATCGAAGACAATATTCAAAAAAATGTTAAATCATGCATCTTTAATTGGGTCTCATCAAAATATAACCAAATAGGACAAATAAGTGTTAAAAATACTTAGGTACCCAGTCTATTTTCCTGATTTAGTTTTTTGATAAAGTTTATAATGGAGTTTCTTTAGTAAATATAATGTTAATCACTTAAAATTATCATGTACCCTTTAATTAAGTTAGATTGAAGTCAAATACAATCTTATCGATATAGTTTATTAACAATTATTTAAATACCTTAAAAGATTTTTAAACAACAAACATTGATTTAAAATTTTATTATTTTGCATATATATTTATTAAATTAATATTGTTGCAATAATATTTGGTTCTTGTATGAGCAATCTTAATTATAGCTGCAGAATCATGAATGATTATTCTATTGAACCAGTAGTTGATTCAGAATTATATGAAGTTGAAGAAATTAGACATTTGTATGACCTCTTTGATGTAAGACAATTTATGACTTGTTTATCAATGATTTATTTTTATGAATAGAAATTTGAAATAATTTCAGGTAATTAGTGTTCATAAAGTACAAAATCCACTGCTTTGGGGTTTATACACATTAAGAAAAAATGAAATGGAAATAAATACTAAAAATATAAATGTAAATGAATGGCTTTTATATCATGTTACTGCCACTAAAAATGTTCAATCAATTGCTGAGAATAATTTAGATTGGCGTTTCACTAGTCGTTGTCGATATGGAAAAGGTGTATGCTTTTCATATTGCCCTTTGTATGCCAACAAATATGCATCATGTAATCAAGGTAAATGATTGATACATTAATCAATTAAATTAAATTTTATAATTTCATTAAAATATATTTATTTATATTAAATCAGGATCAACTACAGTAGACTATGATGAAAATTTAATGCATATACTTATTAATATGGGTTTTCCAAGAGAAGCAATCAAACGAGCATTATTTTATACTTATAACCAAGGACTAGAATGTGCAACCAAATGGCTTATGGACCATATTATGGACAATAATTTTGCTGAACCTTTTGTTCCATCCAGACATGACTTTAATAGTGGTAGGTAAATTTTTTTAAGTGATAAAAAATATTTATATTATTTTGTATAATATTATAATGTATTGTTTAAATATTCGAAACATTCCTGTTTTCATGTTAATTTAAAATATTATTTTTTAGAAATTTCTATCGAGCGAGCATTTATAATTTGCCGAGTTTTGGTTCATAGAATCAAAGATGTTAACGTGAATTATAATTTGAACGTTATACCTAACGTTTTCGATACTGCTAAATCATTAAATGGTATGGTTTATGTAAAATTTAATGATTACGAATTTTATCCACAGTATATAGTGTATTACAGAGAACATAATTTAACTCAATATGCTGATCCATATTCATTTAATTTTAATTTTAATTATAACTATTGTTTTGATCAATAATTGTATAAGATTAATTGTAGATTTTCTTGCATAAAATATCATTATCTGTTTGATGTATTTTGACTTATGTGTATTAATAACAACATTATAATTATTACAGATTACTCCATCAAAAATTATATAACTCATATATAAAATATTTTGTATTATAATCATATGTTTATTTATTTATACTATATAATATAATGTTAGTTTATAAGTGAACATATGATTTCAATTAAATAATAGTAATATATTTTAAAATACTTTGTAAACAATATGTGCTTATTTTTAAAATAATTAAAATTTCTATAGTTTTATAGGTACATAATCTTTGAATAAAGAGAATATATTATGTGAGTGATTCAAGCTAAGGTCATTAGGAACTAATATCTGGTCAAACATAGTTTTCTAATATTAAATATATATCAAGAATAGATTTTACATTTAATCTAGTAAGAACAGAGTATAATGGAAGGAAATATCGAAGTTGRAAGGTGCAATAGAAATAAATAGTTTTATTATAGTATTATTAAACGTCTAAGAAGATAATCAAATAAATGCAAGGGTAAAATTAAGTACATCAAAATGTTTTGTATAGATATAATGAAGAACACATTTCAGAGAAAAATTATACAATATGCTGAACAATCAAGAACAATTTATCAATCCATAATTCATAATATTTTATTTTAAAGATATAAAATAAGATAAAATATATACTCCGAATAACAATAAATTAAATGATAATAGAATTTAGACTAGTAATGAATACCTTTCAAATTTATCATAATAATATGTAAATATATTTTATGAGAAAAGTAAATATAAAATAAATAAAATCAGTCTTTTTTGCCAAATATAATGTTTAAATATAGTTTACAAAATTATTAAAAGAACGATGGTTATTAAAATAATACCAACTAAAATTCCAATCGCCATCCATTGTCTTTTATCTGAAATATAAATTGCATTGTTAATATTGTATTGAATAGAATAGAAATAATTGTAGGATGTAATTTGTTAAAAAAGATATTTCAAAAATAACGACAGTAAAATATTAATAAATTTATTCAATTATCTAGTTGTATATGTTTATTCTGTAAAACACATCTAATATTATAAACTATCAGTTATATTCATAAGACTACCTATGTTTATTTTCCGTTTATCAATTATTTTATTTTATCTTCTAATATTAACTGTAATTATATTTACATAATTATTTACTATAATTTTGTGACAATTCTATGTATTGAAAATTGAACTAGAAATTCCAAATCAAACCAAACCTAATATCTAATAGTTTGGTTCAAAAATCCAACCAGAGAAATAAAAATATTTTTTTTTTTTTGTCACACTTATTTAATTTGAACAATCTAAGAAAAATATTTACAATAAGCACAATGGAGGGATACATATTAGGTCATGGTTGGCTTGATTGAAGAAGCTGTTCAATAATAGCACTTCATAGCGGGATAGTAGTGGTTAGTCGACTAGTAGGTCATGGCACCGGCTACACTTAAGACGTCTGCCAGGGTCTCTAAAGTCCAAATACTATAATATGTATCTTTTATGTTTATATATGTTCATATTTTCTCATCTTAATAGTTTTTTTTCTTCAATAAATTACAACTTATTGAATTAGTCAATAAACATTCAAATGTATGAAGCTTAGAAAATAATAAATAGCTTAAATATAGATGTTGTAATGTATCAAACCATTTTCAAATTGTAACACACAGATATTGAACTTCACTCTGCATTTTAGATGTTTAATATTTTTAAATCTTAAATGTAAATACCAGAGAAAATTTTGTTGAAATTATATAATTTGATGTTATTAAAATATTACCATCAGACAATTGTAGAACTTGTGCCACCTTTTTTGATACCATGTCTAATCTTGATTCTGTTTTGTCTAATTCAGAGCTCAAATTTTCGAGCATTCTAAAAAAATTAAAAATACATTTGTAATGTAGTTAAAATATAGTTAATTTGATAAGTTTTTTTTCTATCACTTTGTTATGAAAGTGTAAATCGATATTAAACAGTACAGTAAATGGTAAAAAATGAAAGGATGTTATGTTTAAATAGATATTAATAATTTATAACTTACACATTTTGATGATCTAATTCAACACTTATATCTTCTGAAACATTTTTCAAAGTTTTTACTGAATTAGATATGAGGTCCAGTTGATTGTGTTGATTATTCATCTTATGAGAATGTGAACTAAGCATATCAGCCACAAATGTTGATGTGCCAGGGCGAGATGTAAATAACACATCATCTGGATCTTCATTATTCCTTTCTAATAAAGGCTAATGTAATGAAAAATTTGTTACAAATAATTTAATTAAAAGTAGTAAAATATATTAAACACTAAATATTAAATTTAATACTAAAATACTAAAAAATTTAATAAATATAATGGTTTATTTTAACTTTGATACACACATTGTTTAATTGTATTATAAAAAGAAATGCCTAAGGCCGGTTATTACAATTTCGTATCTCCTGTATCTGTCAATCGATAGCCGATTATTATTGGAATTTTCACCAGCAAAATTCTGTCAGTTATGTGTCTGTTAACTTTAACGGGACATAGTAAGAATGGACATTACACTTTTATAAATAATTCAGCAAACTACATCTTATACACTACTTTGTAAGGTTATTAACTAAATTACTTAAAAATTTCTGAAGAGATTTATTAAACTCTTGATTAGTAGAAGTAAAATTTGGAGTTAGCAATGTTGTTGAGCTAATTAAATAGAATTAAAGTAATAAATGGTGATAAATAGAATTAGGTATATAAATTCAAAGATAATCATTTATTTAATTTTAAATTCATTATTTCATTAAGTGATGAAGATTTTATTTAGTTATTAATATTCTATAGGTATTAGATAATTATCAATCTTAAATTCTTAATTGTCTAATCAATTTCCTTTAAAAATAAGCTAGTTTAAATGAATTTAATCTTACCTCACTGTCTTGAGTTCCTGAGGTTAACTCCCAGGAATAACCATTTTTTCCTCTGGGCATCATATTATTATCTTTTGGTGTTGGAATCACTTAGTAATTAAAATTTTTAGAACAAATTAATTTCTATAGTTAATTAGTAATCTAATAGATAGAAACATAATTTTTTTATACATAAAGTTATTGTATCTGTAGTAGGTAAAAAATTATAAGTGAATTGTAATTATCTTAGTATTAACTAAATCTTGTACTAGAGATGATAATAAACTATGAACTATTAAAAATAGTGACAATGGTTAATATTTGACATAAGGATTAGAAGTAATTGTTTGGAAAATCATAATTTATAGGTAAATGATTAATAAAAAAAAATTACGAATTATAACAGGTGGTCAATATATCTAGTGAATAGTCATCATTCATCAATGGCAATGGCGTATTCACATTTTCACATTTTACGTCGGCCTGTATGATAAAAATATTATTATCTGTCTATAAAATTTTGTAAAAATAAAGTTATTAGCAACGTCCTAATAAGAGTATCATAATGAATAAAGTTCATGATAGAAATAACTATATAGGTATGATCACGCATTCACACAGATCCAATGCGCAAGATGCTCACGACAAGTGCGCAACAAATATATTAACGTTACCGATTTTCAATGTTGCGCAGTTGACTTTACACACAACACAATGCGTAGTGCACAAAACTTTCCTGAAGTCGTGAAGTCATATTCGAATTTCGAAGTGATCATACCTATTACCTATAGTTCTTAATCTTCTATCATGATATTGAAATCATATCATTGAAAAAAAATAGCATAATTATTACTGTTCTATGTTATTACGATGGCCATGCACTATTTTTTCATCAACCAGCTGTTGCCTGTAGGTACTATAAAATATTATTCAATGGTTGTGCTCAGATATAATGGTAACAACCATGTAGAATGAACGGTAACAACAATAGTATAATGCATGCATGCGATGGTGGCTGACCCGTGGGCCGTGGATAATATAATAATATACTGATATTTGATAGTGTATAAATAAACATTTAAATATTTAATATCATAAGAACTTGTTCGTTTCTTTTTTTTAGTCTAATAATTTTGTGTTGATAATTGTTAATTGTTATTAATTATTATTTATTATCGTACAGTGTTTAATAGTTTAGTTGCGCGTTTCATAATTCGTTATTATTGACATAGATTAAGCATTGCATTTAGAATTGAGAGTTGACAGAGTTCAGTACACTCGTGTACACTAAGCTGTGTGTACGTACTAAGTGTTCAATGATTGCTATTTATAATAATTATCGGTAAAAATAATTTTTTCTGCGAAGTTTTTTTTTGGTAACTGTTCACTATAAGATGTGACATTTTCACTGATGATATTATCAAAATTATGAATGAAACGAACGTTGTTAATGTAGACGTATTGACGAAACGATTCGAATCATTTCAAAGCTCTAAGAAACCATTATTGGATGAGAAGAGAAGACACGAGAATAATGCGAACAAAAGAAATATCAAAAGAACTCCTGCCTTCAGACGGGATGTAAACATTACGAGAAAGCTAGTTGTGGATCATTCACAGGCCGTGATGGTAACTAACAATGAGAAACAATTTAGTAATATTATTATTTCAAACACTAGTGAGTGTAATAAAACAACTACACCAACTGATTCTCATAGTTATAATAAGACTGACAGTTTAAATCAAAAATTATATCTAGATACATTTGCAAAAGATGATAAAAATAAACTAGCAACTGACCAAAAATCTATCATCAACTGTTTGAAAAAAAGACTAGAAACTAACGGCATTACTGCAGGTTGTAAACCAAAAGTACCAAAAAAAAATTTTGAACTTCCACAAAAACCTCATTTACCAATTGGTCCACCTCCTAAAAAGCCACCAAGAACATTTGCTCATGATAAACAAATAGATCTAGATCTTCCTTATAATTGTACAATGGAATCTCATAAAAATACCAAGTCTGATCCAAAAGCTATGTTGGAAAAGCTAGAGAAGTTTATAACTAAAAATTCCCATACATATGGACCTAAAGATGAAAAGACTACTGGAAAAGATTGTAATTCAAATATCAGTTCTAAGAAATCTAACTTATTTAATTTGGCAAAGTCTTTAAAGTGTCCAGAAAGTGATAAACCGTTTGGTAATTCTTTAAAAATACACCATACTGATGAACAGAATTATTTAACTCGAAAATTATATAATGAATATGACGTAGAGCATATATATGACCAACCAATATTCCTAAAACCCAACTCAAGGCCAAACATCGATACTGCTAATAATTGTCATACGCTTATAATTGGTAATGATCAGATTTGTGATTCCAATAAATCTAATCTGCATTATATGGTAAGTTCTAATAATTAATTAAAATAATGATTGTCTATTTGATTTTTTCATTTATCTATTACTAAAATACTTATCATACCTATAAATAATAGTAAATCTATCTTTTTATTTTAATCTGTAGTCCACGCCAATTAAAGATTATAATTCTGAAGTTAATTTGAAAGAATCTGAATCATATTTTCAAATTGATACTACTGATGAATTGGATTCAAAAACAAACAAAAATATGACTATGACTCATGAGAGAAAAGTATTTATAAGAATAATTTATTTTATTTTATTTTAATATAATTTTTACCTAGTTAAATTAATTGTCAATACTGTGTACTTTTATAAGATTCAAATGTTAATGAATGAAGCTTATGGTACATTTGTTAAAACTCAAGAGGAAAGTGATTCTAACTGTGAAGACAGTTCTAGTGGATCAATAAATAATCTAACGGGTATGTAAATAATTTAATAATTATATAAGTTAACGATGAGAATAAACTTACCATTTAGGTATTAGAAATCTTAAATTATAATAATATCTATTATTTAATAAAAGTATCTATCAACTACATTTTATTTTTATAAAGCACTTATTATTGGTCACATAATAAACCAATGAAACGACTATTACATTACATTAATGTACAAAAATACTGTATTTAGCTTTTAATTGTAATTTATAATTGTTTAGCTTATTATTATTATTTTTTTAAATGTTTTATTCAATCTGCTGTAAAAAAAAACAATAAAAACAACTTAGGAAGTAATAGATAGTAATAATAATTAAATAAACAAATAGATAAAAATAACAGAGCGTAGAACCCTTCAGTGAAGGTACTACGATAAAAAAAAACATGAGTTTTAAAATTGAATTACTTTGTCATTAGGTTTCTACACCATTTGGTTTGAGCCGTTAGGAAGGATTTCCAGGGATAGTAAAAAAGAGATATTGAACATGAGTGAGTTTCCTTTGGTTAAAAGGCTGTTATGGAATGTTTTGTAGTGTGTTTTAGCCATGTCTGCAACAAAGGAAAAGGATATGAAGAGGTTGTGATGGAATCTGTGATTGGAAACATAATACGGTGCTTTAATAGATGGTCTTAGAGTTTTGGTTTGATAGATTTGTATTCTATTGATGTATAGTAGGTTTTGCTAATCCCTAGAGCTGTATATCATAGATCCATCACCCATATTGGTTTAAGTAGTATTTTGTGTATAAGAAGTTTATTGTTCAGATGAATATGTTTAGTATTTAGAGATCAGTAGGTATCACAGCTGTCGACTACGACATTGAGCGTTAAACATTTGGAGCGTATTTGAGGAACCCATGTGAGCCAGCGGTTTAAGGCTAGTCTTACGTTTTGGGAGTAGGGTAAAGGTTGATTATTGAAGAATAGTTGTGTGTTCTGGGGGTGTAATGTGAAGGTAGAGTCTAGTGATTTTATTTGGTTTAATTTCAGGACCCATTCTGTGTACCATGAGGTGAGTAGTTTAAAATAGGTTTGCATAAAAGAAGCAGCTATGTCTGGGTTAGAGTGGCATACAACTAATGCTTTGTCACCCGCAAAGTCGGCTACTTTTGTGTTTTGAGTAGGGGGTTGCTCTGCGATGTAGATGTTAAAAAGGAATGGTGCAATAAATGTACCTTACAGGACACTGGCTTCTATTTTAGAAATATTTGAAAAAGATTTAGCTTAAATAACATAATAATAAGTAATTTCTCTATGAAAAAGTCCTATTTCACGCATAGTTCTTGTCTTAATTTTGTATTTATAATACGAGTACATTTTACAGAAAGATTTTTAACAATCAAACATTGACAGTAGCGTCGATCACCTAATATATATAATATATTATATGACATATATCATAGTAGATTTTTAGATGGGGAAGGGCCCACTATGAGATACTGCCGTGTACTGCATACAGAATATACGTTTAAACATAAAAATAAATGGTTAAATGTTACATTACTTATCTGTAGACGCTTTGATTTACATCTGATGGTAAAATTATGAAAATAGGGGGGATGGTAAAAACATTTAATTTATTAATCATATACTTTGTCTTTAAACTCTATAATATTTCATTAATAGATGAAAGTATGTCAAACAAATTAAAATTTATTCAATTTTTAATGTTCATTTCTTAATTTTATTTTAGTGACCAATTCATAGTGAATTAAAAATATTATAATATTGGTCATAAATGATGTGTCATTTATGGATTTTTTATTTTTTTTAGATAAAAATATTAGTGAACAAACTTTAGAGCGTAAAGGGTATTTACGTAGAGTGGCTAAAAAAATTACAACATCATCGTGTTCAACTATTGTTCATGATAAAAATCATCTATTTCAGGCACTTTTATTAATTGGACTGGATTTAAGTTCTACCAAAGAAAAATTACCTTATATAAAACATAAATATCCTACACAAGTAATTATTGTGGTTAAATAGATTAATTTTTAACAAATGTAATTTCATTAATGATTATTTTGTAATCTCAGGCTAAAATACCAGAACAATTTGAAAATTTATGTTTTCCTGATGCACATGTTTGGCCATTTACTGCAGATGATTGTAGAACATATTCATTAACTGTTACTGATGAAAATGGTCGACGTAACTATGGTTACTGTTATAGAGTACAGCCTGAAGGTGCTGCCTATTGTTTACCATTAGTATATTGTATATATTCTTCAATTAAAGCTAACAGTTTTTACTTTAAGGCACGTAATATTTTTACCATTCATTTTTAATAAGATTATTCAACTTATATTTATAAATATTAAATAATCTTAATGAACTTTACAGGTATTACAAGAAATTGAATCAAGACATGGTTTATCTGAATTCAATATGAAAATGTTTATTAAGTTATTATATGACCAGCCATTTCCAGAACTTGGTTCTTCAATTTATTTACCTCTTGAACCTTCAAGTTACAGTACTGAGCTGTAAGTAAATAAACATTTTATAAACAATATTTTGTTTTACTATTTTTAGGTTCACAAGACAACTTCATGTTTGAACCATTTGATATCAAGGCCATAGATTCCTTGAATAATCTAATGTACCATATATTCACCACATTTATTTATTTATTTTTTTTTAAACATTTTGAAACTTTATTTTTTAGCCCTAACGGAGAAGGAGTACTTCGTATACCATTTGATATTCTAAATGATCAAGATGATCTACTAAAACTTTTAAACATTATTAAACCAAATACGTTTATACAAATGTTAGCTACAATGTTGTTAGAAAGAAAATTGATACTTCTCAGCAAATCAATAAGGTATTAATTATATCTAAATAAATTAAGTAATTTAACAATTTTTTAGAAAAATTTTAAAATATTTATTCAGCTATTATTTTAAGATTTTATATTTAAGTAACAAATGGAAAATTATTTACTGGATATTTGTTTGAATATTGATGTATCCTTACAAACTTTTTGAACACCTTGTACGCTTAGAAAAGTTTATATTTGTCAACTTGAAACATTTAATTTAAGAATTTGTATAGTTTTATAATATTACTTATAAATAATTAAAATATTTGCATCTATTAAATAATATAAGTATAAACTATAAATATAAGATATGAATTTAAAAATAATAAAATTTAGTTTTAAATAAATTTGTATAACAATTGATTATTGGTTAAGAGGATGCTTTTCATGCATTTGTTGTCTCCATCATACACAAGCACAACCTAGCAAATTTCTGTTCACTGGTTTCAATTGTGTGCCGTTAATTTTTGTATTAGAGTGAATTGAATTTTGACTATACAATTTTCAAACGTGATATAAACATTAAAACATTATCAATGTGTAATATTTTACATACACATATTTTGCTTGAAAATGTATATAACAATAAATCGCCAACATTTTTAAGCACAGATGTTATTATATTGTTCTTACCGAAAAATTTGGTAATAGGTCAGTTTTTTCCTTAATATCAGAATTAACAACAACTTTTGAAACTAATGAACAAAAATTTGGTATATCGTACACTTGTAAGATGGAGACTACTACAAATACATCTTAAAAATAAATCTAATATTTTTTGACACTTGATTTAATTTGTAATATTTTTTTTTTAAATTCTTTTTTACAGTTTGTTATCAAGTAGTATTGAAGCACTTACATCTTCTTTATATCCTTTTGCTTGGCAACATACTCTTGTATCAGTTCTTCCTTCTCAAATGGTATCTGTTGCTGATTTTGTTCAAGCTCCAACACCATATATCATTGGTCTGTTAAAAACTGATAATCAATCAGATATATTCTCTCAATTGAGTGAAAAAGATCAAGTAAATATTATATTTATGTATATATTATACATGAATTTTGTATGCTTATTTTCCTAATAATTATGTTAATAATCAGGTTTTCATTTTTGATTTGGATGCTAACAAAACATTGCGTAAAGTAAAAGATGAATATAGTGTCCTACCATCAAGAATTGCAAAAGGCTTGAAAAATGTTATTGGGTTAAAGGTGGAGTTGGATCAATCAACTAAAGCAGTTTTAGCATCAGAGTCTCTTATACGATTGTTTGTGGAACTAGTTGGTCATTATAAATCCTTTATTCTATCAAATACAGAAAATAAATATAATTTTCAGGTATTGTTGATAAAATATTTTCCTATTTTTACTCATAGATTAAATGCTTTTTTTAAAACTATTTGGTAAGCAGGTAATCTGTCAAAAAGTCTGAGGACAAAAAGTCCGGTATGGAAATAGTTGGACAAAAAGTCCGGATTCATTTTTTGATTGCCGGACAAAAAGTCCAAACACATTTTTAGTGTCGGACAAAAAGTCCGAAAATACAAAATTTTCATAATTGTGTAATTATAATATTTTATATATATATATATATTTTTTATATTTTCTTATTCTTATTATTTCTTATACCTAGGGAACGGATTTGAATGCAAATTGCCTTTTTTTTCTGAATGTCCGAAAACATTGGTTTCCAAGCAAAAAGTTCATTTCATACATCAAAGAATTAAAAAATGTAACTTTTATTTTGCTTTTTTTTGCAGTTTTAGAGCATTTTTTTAAATCTCTAGTGCATTTTGTGGTTTTTAAGTCATTTTTTCCACATTCATTCTTAAAAAAAATTAAAATACCTAAATATGTATTATATTGTTATGTTACGAAATTATTGTTGACACGTGTATTATGTTACGAAATTACGAAATTATTGTTGACATGTGTAGACACAAAATATATACATACAAGTTACAACAGATTATTACCCACATTAAGGTAAAGATAAGAGATAAGATCCGATAAACTATTTATCTAAAGTTAATTAATTAAGGTTGTATTGTATTTAAATATTTTTTATTAGATTTTTCATAATAATGTGTTTTTTTATAAGTTTTAAATGCAAAATTTTGTTTTTATTGAATATGAACCCATTTTATTAAAGTTTTTTAGGGCATTAAATCGTATTTTTTTAAGGCATTTTTCTTGTCTTTTAGAGCATTTAAATCCATTCCCTACTTATACCTAACATAAATACAACAGAAATTATCAAGATTTATATTATAATTGTGGTAATAACGTTTTTGTAGCATGTAGATTGTAGGTATGATATTATGGTAGATAAACTGTAGACGTACGGCTGCGATAAACATTAGATCCATATAGACCAGACTATAGCGGATTTCCATAATATTTTTTTTTAGGTATAAGAAATAATAAGAAATAAGAAAATATAAAAAACAGTAGGTACAATGATATAATAATGAAATAAAAGTATTACAATTACATTTTTAAAATAAATAATAATTATATATGAACTGACTATATATATATATATATATATATATATAATATTACATGTGTATACTATATATATACCTACATGATAATATTATATAATATAAGGTACATTATAATTTTAAATGAAAATGGAATAGACAATTTTGAACTTTCGGACTTTTTGCCCGGCAATCAAAAAATTAATCCGAACTTTTTGTCCAACTATTTCCATACCGGACTTTTCGTCCGGGAATCGGTTAGCAACTATGTTAATATTTCATGTGCATAATATAATATATACATATTCATATACAATAGATATAATAACAAAAATAATTATTGTTCCATTAGAAAAAGTTATTCAGAAAAAAGTTGTTTTTTTTTTTGTTTTTTTTTTTTTAACACATTTTAAAATATTAACAATATTATGGTTGAATGACGTTGATAGTAGGTAAATATTTATGATAATAAATCATAATTCAATGTCAAGTTAGTTGTGTTTCTTAAAATAAAAAGGATATTGCCTACAATCAGTAGCTTGTATCTAAATTATATATTAAAAAATAACATATTTAATTTGTATACTCATAAGTCATAAAACATAATTTTTAATTATTAAATACAAAATGGTTTACTTTCATTACAATTACCCCAAAAAAATTATTTGATCATTTTCCATTTTTAACAAATTTAATGCTCTAACTATCTCTATTAAATTTTGAATTATTATTAAGATGTATTTTACATAAAAACTTGTTTTGTTCTGTTTAGAGTATAATACATTTCTTGTTTTGTTTCAGAAACAATTTTTCATTGATGCTGGTATTAATACTGCACATCGGAATTTTTTGGAATGGTTTACAGAAACAGCTATGTTTACCACATTTCTAAATAATAAAATGCATAATAATATAGACAAAAAAGACGTATTTGAGTGCCGATGTGATGAATTTTCTAATGAGCTCAGTAAAATTAAACGTAAATCAAAAACACTACAGTCTATGAAGGCAATAGGTGATCGGATAAAAGAATGGGCAGTTTCATGAATCCATTTAATTAATTGATTTATAATTTATAATGTATAATGATAAATTTTAATTTAATATAATTATATATATTAACCAAAGATCAAGATTTCTAAAAATGTTTTATATGTAAGAGAAATATAAAACACTAAAAGTATTATTAAAATATKATCATTTTTGTATTGTTTGTAATATATTAGCATTTATTTGTTAAAAATATTTCATTGGTATTTATTAAATTGATTTATTTGTGTTCATATGATTATCATACATTAGTGGTTTTTCTTACTCATGATTGATATTTTTGGGCAATATTTCTAAAGAAGATGTCAGTGCGCTGTTTGTTTTCTCTCTAGCCGACAGGCAATGTAGATAAAACATATTTATTCAGAATTATATTTTTGTTTTGCTTAAAAGTATTGTGGAAAGAGTTGAACTTAAATCTACAACATTTAGTAGCGTCTGAAGTTGGAGTTTTGTCTAAATTYTTTTATGTATCGAAATTACAAATATATTATTTTGTGGTTAAAAATGTATAAAATTTTATAATTTATTTTATTTTTTTTAGATAAGTTCATACTGTAACCAAAAAATACTTGAATACTTAATAAGGTTTTTTATTGACATTAAAGTTCAAATTTGGAAGAAATTAGAATTTGATATATATTCATTACAGCATGCATTTTAGACACCAATTGTACAGCAAATCCATATTCCGTATCTACTTGCCCATTTTTTAGATTCTGAGCGGAGCGATGAATGTATTGATTTTACCATGATGTGTGTTTTTATTATTTTTTTTTTTTTTGTCTGTCATCACGTTTTGGGACAGTATAAATGCTTCAATTTTTTACTTCAGTTCCTCGTTCGATCAAAAAGTGAATCTAGTTGGTACTTAGGGGGATCAAAAGTAAAAAGTTCTTAAAACTTTTCTAAATAATCGAGAAAAACAAACTAAAAATTAAAGGAAAAACGGGAAATTTTACTCACACTCATTTTTCGACAAAATCGATTTTGGTTTTTGATGTAACTTTAAACGAATGACCATGAAATTTTCACCGAATGTCGGAATGTTGATATATGTATATTCTATCCACCATGCAATTTTCAAAAAAT